CCAGAAAGTAATAAAATTTACACAATTACCGTTACCGCCAGTTGCCGCCATTTTGATGCTTATTGACGCTCACAGTTTCCAAAACGAACGGAATTTAGTTATCGATTCTGAGCGCTTATCGGCCAAGTCGAACGCTAAAAATTCGTGCTTATAAGCGTGAGCGCTCACAGCGCGTAAGCGTCCAAGTCGAATGCACCCTAAATGATGAGTAAAAACTATTGATAAATATCATTATTTATATCCTAATCTTTAATTGAAATAACATATATTAATAAATTAATGTAATAGTTTTCACGGTTTAGTATGATCCTCAAACATAAAAAATCAGTTTGTAAAAAAATGAAGCTTCTTTGGAATAAACAAATTTACGATTTTATGTTTAAAAAAATTGAAGGTCATTAATTAGGAAATAAGAGTGAAATAATAAGAATTTACATGCATTTGAAGTAATAAGAATTATTAATAAATTAATAAATAAATAAATAAATAAATAATGTTGTGTTGAAAATTTTAAGGATTTTTTTCCTGTCATGTTTTCGTTAAGTCCGTTTCACCTTTAAAGGACACGTGCTGATTAGTTTTCTGCAAAGGCAGGTCTAGCCGTTTTAAAGATACGAGAAAGAAGTGCCAAATATGATAATTTACTTTTCGAGAGAACAAAGCGTTCGAGTTCAATGATTCGAAAAATATTTTATTAGATTTTTAATAAGTACAAATTTTGTTTATATTTTTATGTGTTACGTACTAAAAAAAATTCGAGAAACTTCAAAATATAAAAAAAAAATTAAATTTTTCAAAAAAGTAAAACTATTTAAAAAAATATCAAATTCAGCCATAAAATAATTGTTGCTAAGTTATAAAGAATTTTTAAACTGTTCACACATTTTAAATTACGGTTCGGGAATTTCCAACAAATTTCCTTACGGTTCGATGCCATGGAAAATCAGTTTTATATTTATCAAATCCAAATGTTTACAAAAAGTACAATAGATAAAATGTAAAAGTATAAAGCAAAATAATGAGATAATAGTGGCAGATAAACATGAGATGTTTTCACATGATTTTAAGTGTGCATATGTAGTATTAGTTAGTGATTTCAACAATATATATACTATGTTTGATATCGCAAGATAATTAATTTATAAAAGCATTAATAAAATATCTTTTGTCATTGGTTCCTTATATATTTTCGTTAAATGATTATACATTTATTACTTAATTAGTAACCAAAACTCTTCTTAGCATTCTATGTAACCCAATTAATCCAACGTAACTCAATGATAGTTCTCAATTCAATTCAAGTTTTACATAACTGTGATTCTGATTATATTACTATATTGCGGAAAACTCTATTTACACTTGAAATATTTTTAATCTATATTTTCAAGTAAAAACGTAGCGCAGGCAGGTTCCGGACTTCATCACTGTTTTACGACTCTCCATATCCAAATTTGAGATTGATTCATATTCGTCATAAAATATTAGGTTGTCAAATATCTCTTCCGCTTTTTTGCTCTTGGTATAGAATACAAAAAGGCGGAAGGGAGATATTTGACAACCTTATATAAATCACACACAACTACTATATTTTTATTTAATAACGTATTCATTATTTCCTAAAGTGTTATATTTTTAATAATAACAACATATGCTTATATGCCATGTTTGAACAAAATGAGTGGAAAATTCCTTCAATTCAATTCCGCACGGTCTATCGGATGGTGCATGAAGAGATGAAATCTGATAACATTACAATGATTCGGAAGAAATCGTTGGGCGATGACGGTTTTGCAGATGCTGCAAAGGACCCGATCGAATACTTATTCATACTTAACTGCACAGGTGAGATTTATACGCGATTTCATGGACAATACCGAAGAACGAAAGTCACATGCAGCGAGGAAAAATTGTGAAATTTATAAAAGGACTTAGAATTCAACTGCTGGTGAACACTTCTCATATTATTTCGAGAGAGCAAATTTTTTCATAAACAGGGTATGACGTACATTCTATAAATGATTTATTATTATATGAAGTAGAATTTACGGTTCTACCAGGGTACTGTAATGGCAGTCATCATTACAGCTAAATATAGAATAAATAAAGAAATTAATTAACTTAACTAATTAGAAATAAAGAATTAACTAACGTAACTTAGACAAAATATGACAGAAAAAGAGAGAAAAATCCGATACAAGAAAAAAAATCACAATGAAATATTGTTAACTTTTCACTTCAGTAAAAATGTATATCCAACATCCGTAAATCCAGCGTAAAACAATTTTAGTTTTATTTGTGTTCGTCAATATTATTTTTCTAATTAACTTTTCCTAAGGTAAGTTAGAGTAATCGCAAAAAAATTTAACATGAAAATATTTATATATCTTCACGTTTCAAAGATTTCTGAACATTTTGGTATTCCTTAGAAAAAATCGATGTTTGTGTGTGTGTTTGGATATAAATTTTCGTCGACAATTTGGAGAACGCGGACCAACCGATTTGAATAATTCAAAAAATATTTTATTTGCATTGGAAAGGCAGGTTAATCAGTTTCAATAAAAAAAGTAACAAAATGCGGTCAAAAATGATCATTAGACACATGCACATCAAATAATCAGATACTTTAATAATGTGTTCACATTTTGCGTCATTTTTTTGAGTTTTGTATCAAGATTTTTTATTTTAAAGTTCACTGATATGACACAAACAAATGTCTTCTACATGAAATAACCGATTTGATTAATAGAAAAAACATCCGGTTCGTAATTAAGCACAACTGATAAAAAAATTGTCATGCAGTTTTTGAGAGAATAGATCATCCGACTAGATTAATTCAAAAAACATTTTGCTTGTGTAAACGGCGTGAAAAAAATGATTTTACAAAAAACTTCGTAATTTTAAAAATTTTCAAAATAAATTTAAAGTTTTAAAAAATTCTAATTTTCTTAATGTTTCATTTTAAAATCTAAATTTTGAAAAATTTCAACAAATATTAAAATTAAAAAAAATCGATTTCTTACAAAAATTTTAGAATATTTAGAAATTTAAAAAAATTGAATATGTTCAAAAATTTCCAAAAAATTGAAAAATATGAATTTTAAAAAAAGTTCAAAATTATCAAATAAAATCAAATTGAAAAAAAAATTGAATAATTTTTTTTAAACATACGCATAAGTTTGTAGAATATGCTCGTCGCCCAATTTAATAGGCAATTACAGTATGTGTTTATAATAATTAATCGATTTGAAAATATTTAAAACAATGGTAATTGATTATAGAGTAATTTTCATTGATTATTTTCATTCCTCAAATGTTTAGTTACGGTATGGGATGTTTTAGCAATTTGCCTTAGGGCAATATGCCATGCACCACTAGTTTTAGTAATACTTGATCAAACAAAATGTTCTACAGAACGTGTTTCGACAAACTAAAACCGATACCGTACACAGCTCTGATGTAATCCATATAACTACCGATGTATGGCATCGTGAACTTTCTGTACTGTTATGAAATATTCGAAAAAAATTAAATGGTTTCAAATATATTATTATAAAAACAGCAGCTTTTATTATATGTTTTTCATAGACAAAAAATAAGAACTCAAAAATAAAATTGGGCGACAACGTTTATATATGTTTACATGAAAGGAAAAGAAACAAAATTTATACATGCGGAGTTAAAATAAAGAGAATGAAATTTCTAATTTTCATATTGTCTTATTCAAAATGTTTTTTGAATCATTCGAATAAGATGCACCGTTTTCTCAAAAACGGTAATTTTTAGCACTCTTTGCTCCGTAACTCCTAAATAGGTATCTCCTAAAACTAACCAGCACGTCTCCGCTGTCAATACGAATCGAATGCATTTTGAATCAATCTAATCAGATGCGCCATCGCAAGAGCCGAATTCCTATTTTCTGCACTCTTTGCGCCGAAACGGCTGAACCTGTCTTGCCAAAAAAGTAATCAGTAGATCTCCACATGAGTAGGAACAAATTCAAATCGGTCGATGCTCCCGAAAACGTCGACGACAATCTGAACCTACACAAAACACATACTATTCACTTACATAAATCAATTTTTTAAGTATGCCAAAATGTTCAGGAACTTGTGAAACGTTAAGATATGCAAAAATTTTCATTTTAAATTTTAGGACGATTACAATAACTTACCCTACAAAAAGTTTTAAAAAAATTTACATTTTTCAAAAAAGTCAAATTTATTTAAAAATTTCAAAATGATTACACTAGTTATGTGTATTATATTTGCCTACACTCATTTCGGCACACGTTTTTGAATAACTAAATTAGCAATAGTCGTTATGACTTTTTGAACTGGTTTGACAATTTGCGCAAAAAGATTTGGCTCACTGGATTTTTTAAATTCAATTGTTTTGATGACATACTTGATACATTGATTACGATTTTTTTCTTGTTTCAATTTTAAATTATAGTAGTATGCTGCGAGGACGATAACAAATGCGCTATATAAAATTCTACTAAAAAATTTTGAATTATATTTTTTTATAAATTTTAAAGTAAGAGTGAGGAACAAAATAAATGTAAGTAAAATTAATTATAAAAACCTTTTTTTGTATTACCACCTAATGTATTTTGTAAAATAATCTTGATTTTTAATTTTTTGAGTTTTCTATTTTATGTCAATGACAAATGTCATTTATATGTTACAAAGTTTTTTTACGAATGTCATTTATATGCTACAAATTTAATGGTATGCTAACTTGATATGGAGATTTTTTATTTATGGGCGTTTAATTTATTCGAATTATCTAAAATATTTGTTACCTTATCCGATATTGATTTTCAAATGTAATTTTGCTCTTACATCACTTATATTAATGAAATATTTATTAAAATTAATTGAAAATAATAAAATTGCGTATTAATTCCAATTTTCAGTTTAAGTTATGATAATTAGATACAACAGTATTTGAAATAGCATTCCCATACGCTACTAGTTCTATTAATTATATTTCCGCAGTTCAGCACCATGTTGTCAAGGAGGCATACGAGAATGGAGGCAAAATCAAGAACTAACAGTTCGACTACCCTGTCAGAAGTATCGATTTATGAAACAAAAAAAGTAATTGAAAAATAAAATTAATATATACTAATATATACTAATAAAATTTTAGTTGTATTGATACATCTTTATCAATACAACTAAAATAACATCATAAAAACAAGAATATGAATTTAGTATGATAGGCATTTACTAAGACTTCGTAATTTAAAATAAAATCAATAAAGAATATATTAAAAAATATATATAGATTTCATTTATCATATTGGTTTTCACTTGAAATTATAGATAGCAAAATATTTTCAGTAAAAATGTCCCGTATCTGAAAGCATTGAAAAGTAATAAATAAGTTATATTAAAAATTCATCACAAAACAATCGGGTAATTGTTGGGGTTGTTATCTATAAACGTTGTTATAAGTCAAAATTTATTACAACTATAATACCCATAAGTTCTGAGTTTTGTTCAAATAACTATATATATATATATATATATATATATATATATATAAATAATAATTCATATTATTATTTATATTATTATTATTTTTGCAGAAACGTGTTGCTAGAAATTCTGGGATTCATAAGAGGTATAGACTATCCCCCGAATTAGCCAAATTAATTGGTAGTAATGAACCCGAGACACGGTACAACGTAGTCAAATTAATATGGATTCAAATCAAGGAAAGAAAACTCCAGGATCCGGAAGACCCTGCCTACATCGACTGTGACGAAGAATTTGAGAGCGTGACCGGGATGGTGCGCCTCAAAGGCTTCACCATCATGAAGTATTTGAAGTCACACTTTCTTGAATAACATCAACAACACATATTGAATCATGCGATAAGACAGTAACAATAATTTGGAATCATTTAGACTTGTTTATTATCTGTGCTTGGAAACGTTCGTGTCCATCACTATTACCATTAAAAAAAGTGAACACGATTATTTTTCATTTATGATTTATTTTATACAATATTGACATTGTTATTGATTTTTTTTAACTTTCCGAAAGAGAAGTTTGCTTTCACGAAAGTATCCGATTTCCTAATTTAATGTATTCAAGTTCTCATTTGAAACTAAATTTGGAAAGAGTGTGTGTGTGTATGCGTATGTGATGTGTAAAACAGACGAAAACATTCTATTCCTATTGATAGGGAAATATGCAGATTAGTTTTTGGCAAAGGCAGGTCTAGCCGTTACGGAAATACGGAGCAAAGAGTGCAGAAATTACAAATTGAGTTTTCGAGAGAAGTGAGCGTCCGATTTGAATGATTCAAAAAACTTTCTGCTCGTTTCAACAAAATAATTGCTTGTGGGAAAAAAATTTTGTTCCAATTTTTTTTTCATTTTTTTTTGTATGTGAAAAACAATTCAGGTTTTAATTTTAATTCTGACTAAGTTCTAATATACTCTAAACAAATAATTTTGAAATACAGTTTATATAATACTTATAAATATTAGTCAGTCTAACAATATTTATAATAATCTATTCGGAAACATTTATTATTCCTCGAACGTTTCGTCGTTACGGTACGGGAAGTTCGAGCAAATTGCTCTAAGGCACTATACCATACACCACTTGTTTTCTTGTTTAATAAAATATGACTTTAACTAGCTGTAAGTGGAATTCTGTCTTAAGGCAATTAGGGCATCGTGCCTTAAGGCAAATTGCTGGAACTTTCCGTACCAAAAATTATTATTTTTTTTTTAAACGATTAACTTTTTTGAAAAAAAAATTACTTTGAAAAAATAAGATTTTTGAGAAACTATAAATTGGACAAAAAATTAGTTTTTTTTGAAAAAAAAAAAAATTAAAAAATTTTTTTTTTTAAATTTTTTTTAAAAATTTTTTTTTTTTTTGAAAAAAATTTTTTTAACTTCCCGTAGGGCAAGTTATAGTAATCGCAAAAAAATCAAAAATGAAAATTTTTATATATCTTTACGTTTCAGAGGTTTCTGAACATTTTGGCATACCTTAGAAAAAATGGATGTATGTGTGTGTGTGTGTGTGTGTGTGTATGTATGTATGTATGTATGTATGTATGTATGTATGTATGTATGTATGTATGTATGTATGTATGTGTGTATGTATGTGCGGATACAAATTTTCGTCGACGATTTCGGGAACACGGATCAACCGATTTGAATAATTCAAAAAACATTCGATTTGTATTGATAAGGAGACGTGCTGATTAGTTTTTGGCGAAGGCAGGTCTAGCCGTTCCGAAGATACGGGGCAAAAAGTGCCGAAAACGGTAACTCAGTTTTTAAGAGAACGGAGCGTCCGATTTGAATAATTCAAAAAACATTTCACTTGTATTGACAAGATGAAGAATCGATAAAATTTTCATGAAGGTAGGTCTAGCGGTTTCGGAGATATGGAGGAAAAAGTAAAAAAATGAGCCATTTGGCGGTCAAAAATGATCATTAGACATATGCACATGAAATTATCAGATATTTTATAGAGATTTTAACAATAAGTATACATTTTGTTAACATTCCTATGGGTTCCGTACCAATGCTTATGCGTTAGACATTGACGCGGGGCTTACGCGCTTTATATTTTGTCCCTATGCAGTTAAAGCAGTACGATTGCTTTGAAAAGAAAGTTCAGATCTTCCACAATATGTCAAAATAAAGAAAAAAGATTTTTTCTCAAAAAAAATATATATTTTAAAAAAAAAAATTTTTTTTAAAAAAAAAGTAATTTTTAGTCCAATTTATAATTTCTCAAAAATCTTATTTTTTCAAAGTAAATTTTTTTCAAAAATGTTAATCGTTTTTAAAAAAATAATAATTTTTGGTACGGGAAGTTCCTGCAATTTGCCTTAGGGCACGATGCTTTAATTGCCTTAAGACAGAATTCCACTTACAGCTAGTTTTCTTTATTTTGACATATTGTGGAAGATCTGAACTTTTTTTTCAAAGCAATCGTACTGCTTTAACTACATAGAGACAAAATATAAAGCGCGTAAGCGCCGCGTCGCTGTCTAACGCATAAGCATTGGTACGGAACCGATAGGAATGTTAACAAAATGTATACTTATTGTTAAAATCTCTATAAAATGTCTGATAATTTGATGTGCATATGTCTAATGATCATTTTTGACCGCCAAATGGCTCATTTTTTTACTTTTTCCTCTATATCTCCGAAACCGCTGGACCTACCTTCATGAAAGTTGTATCGATTCTTCATCTTGTCAATACAAATAAAATGTTTTTTGAATTATTAAAATCGGACGCTCCGTTCTCTTAAAAACTGAGTTACCGTTTTCGGAACTTTTTGCCCCGTATCTTCGGAACGGCTCGACCTGCCTTTGCCAAAAACTAATCATCACGTCTCCTTATCAATACGGATCGAATGTTTTTTGAATTATTCAAATCGGTTGATCCGTGTTCCCGAAATCGTCGACGAAAATTTGTATCCGCACATACATACACACACATACATACATACACACACACACACACACACACACACACACACATACATCCATTTTTTCTAAGGTATGCCAAAATGTTCAGAAACCTCTGAAACGTAAAGATATATAAAAATTTTCATTTTCGATTTTTTTGCGATTACTATAACTTGCCCTACGGGAAGTTAACAAGTGGTGTGTATGGCGTGCCTTAAGGCAAATTGCTGGAACTTCCTTTAAATTTACTAAAGTTTACAGCATTTAGAAACTACGCCAGATGTTGTACTTTCAAATTCTATTTCATAGTAAAGATTTTTATTTTTTCCATTATTAAAAGAATTTAACTACATTCTGCAGCTTTGAAATGCAAGCCCATTCTACAATCCTTATTCAATTGGAGCCGAATCAAGAAACTTGTAAAATATATCGCTTTCAAACTGCGGACGTTACCCCGGACAGTGTAATTGGATCGGTTCGGACATCGCGGTCTATGATCTCAGACCAATGCTCGAAATCTCATTCCAAGAACATACTTTTTGTCATACAATCGCTGTAATAAATCCAGAACAATTGTTGTCGAAAATTAATTTTCTTATACACTGGTACGATTCTCTTAAATGTTGACTGCGCAAAATACTAGTTGGAGATGTAATTAATTTTCTAAAGTATAATCTTTGAAAAAATACTTTTCGAATGTGGAACTATTCGTAATAAATTGTTATTTTTAAATTCCCGTACGGTAAGTTATAGTAATCGCAAAAAGTCGCAAATAAACATTTTCATATATCTTCACGTTCTAAAGGTTTTTGAACATTTTGGCGTACCTTCGAAAAAATAGATGTATGTGTGGTTGGATGTTTGTAGGGAGATGTGCTAATTAGTTATTGGCAAAAGTGGGTTTAGCCGTTTCAAAGATACTGGCCAAAAATGGTATTTCAGTTTTTGAGAAACCGGAGCGTCCGATTTGAATAATTACAAACACATTTTACTTGTATTGACGAAATGTACAAATAGTGAATTTTAGTCCAGCGTTTCTGGGAATACAAACGAAAGTAAGAAACAATGCCATTTGTCGGTAAAAAATGATCATTAGACATATGCATATCATATTATCAGATATCATAATAAAAAGTACAAATTTTGTGTACATTTATATGGGTTCCGTGCCAATGTTTACACATCAGACTGCAAAGCGGCGCTTATGCGCTTCGATATTTTGACTCTAAAAGAGATATGCAGCGCGATTGCTTTAAAAAAAATTATCAAAATTTACAAAAAAGTTCATAATATATAAAACACCAAAGCCATGAGGTTTTTTATGTAAATTGAAAAAATTGTTGATAGTGCTTCTATATCACGTAGAAAAATATTTTTTCGTAGTATCAGTCACACTAAAAAACAAATTTAAAAATTCTCATCAAATTCTACAAATGCATAATATCGTTAACATATGCAGCACAAAGTTCTAAAATTAACTTTGATTTGACTGGGTCTTTTATTACAAATATAAATACCTGTGCAACTAGATAACCCGACAGACGTTGTCCTGTTCCCATGTCTACAATTTTTTAATATAATATACAAATATTTACCGTTTACCGAAAAATAATAATTATTGTTTACTCTTTACGCCAAAATGCATATACAATTATAATATGAGCGATGTTAAATGTCGAACTGCTTTAAATAAAATGATATAACATAACCATAATCATAACATAACACTGGTACTTCATGTTGGATTAAATTAATTTAATTTTTTATTATTTATCCAAAATTTCATCTTAAACTTCTCCTAATCGATATCGTGAGGGCCGAGTTATATGTATTGATCATTACTTTTCCATTTGTTGTTATAAAGTGAAATTTTTACGAATTTTAAAAATATTGTGGAAAGATTAGTAAAAGATGCAAATAACTTATATATTGAAAACAAAACTACATATATTGAACATTTAATATCCGAATCTTGTGTTGGCGCCCCCTAAGACGTGCGCTCGTAATTTTCGCTTGCATCGCATTAAAGGTAGAACCGGCCATGATTAATACTTAATTTCATTTTTTAAGTAAATTAATTTGTCATATCCTGTTCATATGTGTATCATTCAATCTGCCATACATATACTGTATTTTATATTATTTTAATTTCTGGCACATCTCTGCTGCTTTTTGGCAATAATAATGTAGACATTTCATTTTTCTTATTCATAATCATAAATTTATTATACATATTCTAATATTGTCCATGTTCTTATGAAATTGAAATTTTCGGCAGATGATAGTTTTCATTTGTTTTCAATGCAAACAATGACATGTCGTTTTTTTGCATTATTTCATTTATTTCTACAATATTGCACATACATCGC